GACATAGACTTGTTTGCTAATAGGCACAATTCTCAACTTGATAAATTTGTGTCTTGGAGGTTTGAACCTGGGGCCTATGCATGTGATGCTTTCTCCATTTCCTGGACAAATCATCAGCCATACATCTTTCCACCTTTCTGTATGTTAAGTAGGGTGTTGATGAAAATCCAGAGGGATAAAATTCTAAGAGCTATTATTATTGCTCCATTATGGAGAACAGCAGCTTGGTTCCCTCTGTTGATTGATGCTCTTATTGATTTTCCTGTTAAGCTTCCACGCCACAACGATCTTCTGGTGGCTTCACACGACCCGATCCAGTTCCACCCACTTCGAGGACGGCTGATAATCGCCGCCTGCAAAGTATCAGGAGTGCCCTCAAACATCAGGGACTTCAGGACTCAGTCATTGATGTCATCTGTTCCAACTGGCGACCGGGAACTCAAAACAGTACAGTATTTGTATGCATGGCACAAATTCCTTGTTTGGACTATTGGGCGATCATGCTGTGCCAATGAAGTGACTGAAACCACAGTAATTGCATACTTGGACTTTCTTAAAGAGAGTGGGAGCTCATATACAATAATTAACACTCATAAATCATGCATACTTCAGACTTTACAGGTCTCAGGTGCTACTTGGGTCTTAAATCCTAGGTGGTTGCTCAGGTACATGAAAGGACTATTTCATTTACGGCCACCAAGGCCTCATTACACTTGGACATGGGATGTCAGTAGTGTTTTGACTTATTTCCTCATCAAAGTTTAAGTTTGTAAAATTTGACATTAAAGCTTACAGCATTGCTGGCATTGGTCACAGCAGCAAGAGCTCAGACACTGATCGAGTTAGATTTAAGTTATCTGCAAGTAGCAGGCGATCACTTTAAAGTGAATTTTTAATTTATGAACTCACTAAAACAAGTAAGTTGGGCAAACTGATTCAGGAGATTTTTCTGGAGAGATACTCTAAACCAGAAATTTGTGTATTGGACACATTGTTTGAATATATTTGTCGCACTCGGGAACTAAGGACGRCAAGTGGATTGTTGATTTCATACAAGATTTTTTCGGCGGTGTCTACATGCACTATAGCCAGATGGCTACAGACAGTGCTCATTAATGCAGGAATTGATGTGACTGTTTTTAAACCCCACTCTTACAGAGGAGCTTCTGCTTCAGCAGCATTTAACAGTGGCGTTTCACTGAAACAGATTCTATGGACCGCAGATTGGTCTTCAGTTAATACGTTTAAAAAGTTTTACTACCGAGAGTCCGGGGAAGGGATTAAGTTCTCAGAGAGAAGTTTGAGTTGTCATTTCAGATGATCGGAATTTTCTTTCTGAAAATAAATTTTGTTGGAATTTATCTCCATTGAGGTTGTGTGGTTGAATCCTGTGAATTAGCCCACACAAGCAGTGTGATTGTCATCAGCTTTGAACATGCTGCTTACATCTCTGAGATGAAGGCGAACGTAAATGAAAAAAAAAATGCCCCCTCATCCCAGCAGGTGTGCAAGATGAGGGACATTATTTGAATTGTAGTGAGCCTGAGGCTCAGAGAACACCCACCACTTTTTTTGGAGCTAGATTTAGGGGTTGGCTGAGACCCTGCCTTTTTTAAAAACTTTGATGACAATCACACGTGGCGATGAAAAGTGACGGAGGCCAGGCTAGAGAGCCTACTTATGGGGTCGCTAGGCATCATGGGTAATTACCTCTTTGAAAAAGAGACCTCGCTCTCACAATATCTCAAATGATGCTGTTTACTTCTCTGAGCCTCAGGCTCACTACAATTCAAATAATGCCCCTCATCCTGTACACCTGCTGGAATGAGGGGGCATTATCAGTGTGTCCACCTCTATAAAAGCAGAGGTTTTCTCAGTTTGGAGCATAAAGTTGTGATATAACGTGACGCCAACAAGAGGTGTCAAARGTATTCACATTCATTACTCTAGTAAAAGTATAGATATTAGAGTTTAAAAATACTTTCTTATAAGTAGAAGTATCAACTCAGTCTGTTTACTTAAGTAAAAGCATAAAAGTACTGGTTTTAAAACTATACTTAAATTCTAAAAGTAAAAATAATGTAAAGAAAAACAAAGCATGTTAAGGATAAAAGCTTTGGCAGCTCCACAGGGGTCTATAGTGCACAATCCCACCTCCCCAAAAATAGGTTTTCTAAAAGCCATAATGACTTTAATGTTGTATTAAAATGGTGACCAGGTCCTCATTTTAAATGAGAATAAACTGACTTATAGGGTAAAAATAAAGGTTCATATAATGTTGAAAAATTTGGGATGCACGAAGCCACTGGTTGGGGGGGCAAATCCTGAGGAGGGGGGCAGAGAGCACAAAGGGGACCATTTCCTTGTCTGTTTAGAAACTGTAAAAGCTCAGCTTGAATGTAAGCAATCGGGGCTTCGAGGAAAAAAGGTTGGGACTCACTGAACCAGTCAACCTGTTTCAGCTGCTTGTACATCTCTGCCAAGGTCATCTGCAGTCCACCAGCACCCAGTGCACTCAGATTCATATGTTTGATACGTCATGCTGAAGCGTGACTTGATTTAAGTAAAGTGCAGATGTGATGGATCAGAATGGTGTCTGAAAGACATACTGTATATTTATACTTCTCATCCAAACACAATTAAATTCAATCTAGGAGGCACCATATGTATGAATAGTTGTTTTCAATTTTGAATGATGGCAAGCCAGAATAAAAACAAGCCAAAATGAAATAAAAATTAAATACATTTTCATATTTTTAAAATGTAAGGAAAAGAAAGTACAGATTGAAGTTTGAAATACAGTTTGAATACAGTTTGAAAATGTAAGATATAGAAGTAAAAAGTATAAGCTGAAAACTCCAGTAAAGTACAACCAAATTTTCTACTTAAATAAGGAAAGAAATCATTTTACTTTGTTATTTGACACCTCTGATGCCAAGAAATGAAGACATTAGCATGGCTCATGGTTAAACATCACAAACCCCCTCCTTTGTTAGCATCTGTGACAACATGGAGGAGAAAAATGGCATCCAAACAGAGCATTGGCTCACAGGCTGATAACAACTATTTGATTAACAGCAAGCCCATCTGGAGCTGTGTTATAAATTAGTTGTAATCCTTTAATAAATTTATATAATTACTTCTTATGTTAATTTGATTCAACAATCATGTAAATCAGCATATGATATAAAAAGAATATATATCATTTATAAGTCACAATGATCTAAAGCAGACCTGTAGTCAGTCACTATCTTACACTTTTATGCTAATTGAATAAATATGACTTCAACTAGTAATAAAGTATATTTATTATTTTTATTGTCATAAATAATAATAAATATTTACCAGTCAACATTTAGAAAATGTACACTGTACATTCAGTGGTATGTTTTAAGGAAACTTGTCTGTGATATTGGCCAACTATCTTCTCAACATGTCATGTCTGTCTAACAGAAACATAAAAATGTTTAAATCATTTATTCATTTCATTAAAAAACAAACAAAACATTTCACACAAAAAACAGTACAAATAAAACAAAATGAAATGCAGCAGAAGAAGAAAAAAATTCTTATCTGCTCCTTAAAAAATATTTCAAACAATGATAAACCAAATAAAAAACAAAACAAAAAATTAAACTCCTCAAACAGTACTTA